CCCCCCAAAACGCAGGAGCGGGAGCTGGTGAAGACCTTCAAGATCCCGGTGGAGACGCTGTTGACCTACACGTTGACCTTGGAGGACCACTACCACGCCGACGTGGCCTACCACAACAGCCTGCACGCCGCCGACGTCATGCAGTCCACCCACGTCCTCCTGGCCACCCCCGCCCTCGACGTGAGCCCCCCCGGGTGGTGGGATCCATCGTTGGGTGGTGGGACCTACCATGGGGTGGTGGGACCTCTAGTAGGGTGGTGGAACCCATGGTGGGACCCAGCGTTGGGTGGTGGGATCCATCACGGGGTGGTGGAACCCATCGTGGAGTGGTGGGAGATCTGGTAGGGTGGTGGAAACTGTGATGGGAGCTCTGGTAGGGTGGTGGAACCTGTGGTGGGACCCATCATGGGGTGGTGGGGCCTCTAGTAGGGTGGTAGAACCCATGGTGGGATGTACCATAGGATGGTGGAACCTCTGGTGGGGTAGTGGAAACCGTGGTGGGGACCCATCATGGGGTGGTGGGACCTACCATGGGGTGGTGGGACCCATCATGGGTTGGTGGGACCTACCATGGGGTGGTGGGACCTCTAGTAGGGTGGTGGAACCCATGGTGGGACCCAGCGTTGGGTGGTGGGATCCATCACGGGGTGGTGGAACCCATCGTGGAGTGGTGGGAGATCTGGTAGGGTGGTGGAAACTGTGATGGGAGCTCTGGTAGGGTGGTGGAACCCGTGGTGGAACCCATCATGGGGTGGTGGGAGCTCTGGTAGGGTGGTGGAACCCGTGGTGGGACCCATCATAGGGTGGTGGGACCTCTAGTAGGGTGGTAGAACCTGTGGTGGGACCTCTGGTAGGGTGGTGGAACCCATGATGGGACATACCATGGGGTGGTGGGACCCATCATGGGGTGGTGGGATCCATCATGGGGTGGTGGGACCCATTGTGGAGTGGTGGGAGCTCTGGTAGGGTGGTGGAACCCATGGTGGGACCCATCATGGGGTGGTGGGATCCATCATGGGGTGGTGGGACCCATTGTGGAGTGGCGGGAGCTCTGGTGGGGTGGTGGGACCTACCATGGAGTGGTGGGAGCTCTAGTAGGGTCGTGGAACCCATGGTGGGACCCATCATGGGGTGGTGGGACTTACCATGGGGTGATGGGACCCATCGTGGAGTGGTGGGAGCTCTGGTAGGGTGGTGGAACCCTTGATGGGACATACCATGGGGTGGTGGGAGCTCTGGTGGGGTGGTGGGACCTACCATGGAGTGGTGGGAGCTCTAGTAGGGTCGTGGAACCCATGGTGGGACCCATCATGGGGTGGTGGGACTTACCATGGGGTGATGGGACCCATCGTGGAGTGGTGGGAGCTCTGGTGGGGTGGTGGAACCCATGATGGGACATACCATGGGGTGGTGGGACCTCTAGTAGGGTGGTGGGACCTTTAGTAGGGTGGTGGAACCCATGATGGGACCCATCATGGGGTGGTGGGACCTAGCAGGGGGTGGTGGGAGCTCTGATAGGGTGGTGGAACCCTTGATGGGACATACCATAGGATGGTGGGACCTCTGGTGGGGTGGTGGAACCCATGGTGGGACTCATCATGGGGTGCTGGGACCTACCATGGGGTGGTGGGACCCATCCTGGGTTGGTGGGACCTACCATGGGGTGGTGGAACCCATGGTGGGACCTGCTATGGGGTGGTGGGACCCATCATGGGGTGGTAGGACCTGTAGTGCGGTGGTGGAACCCTTGGTGGGGTGATGGAACCAGTGGTGGGACCTGTCATGGGGTGGTGGGACCTGTGGTGGGACCCACGTTGGGTGGTGGGACCTACCATGGGGTGGTGGGACCCACGTTGGGTTGATGGGACCCACGTTGGGTTGGTGGGACCCACGTTGGGTTGGTTGGACCCACGTTGGGTGGTGGGACCTACCATGGGGTGGTGGGACCCACGTTGGGTGGTGCCACAGGCCGTGTTCACCGACCTGGAGATCTTGGCCGCCCTCTTTGCCGCCGCCATCCACGACGTGGACCATCCCGGGGTCTCCAACCAGTTCCTCATCAACACCAGTGAGCACACGCCTCGCACACGCGTGTGGCCTCCCGTGCACACGCGTGTGGCCTCCTCTACACACGCGTGGCCCCTCTACACACGCGTGTCACCTTGCGTGTGTCTCACATGAGCTGCCCTGAGGCACATCCCATCCTGCTTGTGCACACGTGTCACCTTGCACACGCGTGTCACCTTGCACACGCATGTCGCTTTGCACACGCGTGTCACCTTGCACACGCGTGTAACCATGGCCACACGTGGCATCTTGCACCTGTATGGCACCGTGTGCACGTGTGTGTCACCTCGCACACATATGTCACCTTACACACACGTCGCCTCGCACAGACAGGTCTTGCACGTGTGCACTGTCTTGCACACACGCGTCACGGTGGTGGAACCCATGATGGGACATACCATGGGCACCTTGCACATGCATGTCGCCTTGCACACCTGTGTCACCTTGCACGTGCATGTCGCCTTGCCCACACATGTTGCCTTGCACATGTATGTCACCTTGCACATGCATGTCGCCTTGCACACCTATGTCACCTTGCACATGCATGTCGCCTTGCACACCTGTGTCACCTTGCACGTGCATGTTGCCTTGCCCACACATGTTGCCTTGCACATGTATGTCACCTTGCACATGCATGTCACCTCACACATACACATCACCTTGTACGTGTGTCACCTTGCACACGTCACCTTGCACACACGTGTTGCCTTGCACGTCGTGTTGCACATAGACATCACCTTGCACACATGTCACCTTGCACACACATGTTGCCTTGCACCTTGCCTTGCACACATGTCCCCTTGCACACACGTGTTGCCTTGCACACACGTGTCACCTTGCACATAGACATCACCTTGCACGCATGTCACCTTGCACACGTCACCTTGCACACACGTCACCTTGCACACACATATCACCTTGCACACATGTCACCTTGCACATAGACATCATCTTGCACATGTGTCACCTTGCACACACGTGTTGCCTTGCACACACGTGCCACCTTGCACACACACATCGCCTTGCACACACATGTTGCCTTGCACGTGTCACCTTGCACATGTAACCTTGCACACGGACATCACCTTGCACACATGTCCCCTTGCACACACGTGTCACCTTGCACATAGACATCACCTTGCACGCGTGTCACCTTGCACACATGTCACTTTGCATGTCACCTTGCACAGACATCACCTTGCACAAGTTGCCTTGCACATAGACATCACCTTGCACGCGTGTTGCCTTGCACACATGTCGCCTTGCACACATGTCGCCTTGCACACACATCACCTCGCACACACATATCACCTTACACACACATGTTGCCTTGCACATAGACATCACCTTGCACGCATGTCACCTTGCACACACGTGTCACCTTGCACATGTCACCTCACACATACACATCACCTTGTACGTGTGTTGCCTTGCACATGTCACCTTGCACACAGACATCACCTTGCACAAGTTGCCTTGCACATAGACATCACCTTGCACGCGTGTTGCCTTGCACACATGTCGCCTTGCATGTCGCCTTGCACACACATCACCTCGCACACACATATCACCTTACACACACATGTTGCCTTGCACATAGACATCACCTTGCACGCATGTCACCTTGCACACACGTGTCACCTTGCACATGTCACCTCACACATACACATCACCTTGTACGTGTGTTGCCTTGCACATGTCACCTTGCACATAGACATCACCTTGCACACATGTGTCACCTTGCACACACATGTTGCCTTGCACATAGACATCACCTTGCACACATGTCCCCTTGCACACACGTGTCACCTTGCATGTGTCACCTTGCACATAGACATCACCTTGCACGCATGTCACCTTGCACACATGTTCCCTTGCACACACGTGTTGCCTTGCACATGTCGCCTTGCACATAGACATCACCTTGCACGCATGTCACCTTGCACACATGTTCCCTTGCACACACGTGTTGCCTTGCACATGTCACCTTGCACATAGACATCACCTTGCACACATGTCACCTTGCACACATGTCACCTTGCACACATGTCACCTTGTGCGCATGTCACTTTGCATGTCACCTTGCACAGACATCACCCTGCACGCATGTTGCCTTGCACCTTGCCTTGCACACATGTCCCCTTGCACACACGTGTCACCTCACACATACACATCACCTTGCACGCGTGTTGCCTTGCACACATCACCTTGCACATGTACATCACCTTGCCCACGCACGTCACCCTCCCCACACATGTCCCCTTGCACACGCGTGTCCCCTTGCACACACATGTCCCCTTGCACACGCGTGTCCCCTTGCACACGCATGTCACCTTGCACACGCGTGTCCCCTTGCCCCCACCCTCCTCACACACCCCCTTCCCCCCCCTTTCCCTCCCCTCTCCCTTCTCCACCTCTCCCCTCCCCTCCCTCCCCCTGGCACACACACACGCGTGTCCTTAGCGTGTTTGCACGCGCGTGTGCCCCCAGACTCGGAGCTGGCGCTGATGTACAACGACGAGTCGGTGCTGGAGAACCACCACTTGGCCGTGGGCTTCAAGCTCCTGCAGGAGGACAACTGTGACATCTTCCAGAACCTCAGCAGGCGCCAACGTCAGACCCTACGCAAGATGGTCATCGACATGGTGGGACATCACCCATGGGGACATCATCTCCACCCATGGGGACATCATCTCCACCCATGGGACAACCCTTGGGGGACACACACCCCACCTTCTGACCCTCTTCTCTCCATCCCATGGTCTTCTTCAGGTCTTGGCCACCGATATGTCCAAGCACATGAGCCTCT